AAAAAAATAATAATAAATATATAAGGTTTCAATAACAATCTATAATAAAATAAATAAAATTAAATACAAATAATAATACAAAATACATATTAATATTTTCAATAAAATTTTATATATAAAATTTTAATTGAGAAAACAATTTTTTTGTACAACAAAAAAAAAAAAAATACGTTTGAATTAACTTCAATAATTTATTAAACATAAATTTATTGAAAGTTAAAGTATGGTTCTACAAAAAATTAAATAATAATAAATTATAAAAAGATAATATTCAATAAAAACTATAATTAAATAAAATTAAATTAACAATAAATTAAATAAAATAATAAACACATCAATTAATAATCACGAATTCAACAACTTTTGTTAGGTTCGAATACGAAACCGACAGTCTTATGAAAATGTGTCTTAAAATAGACAATACACCTGAAAATGATCTTTCTATTTTTTTTTAATAAAAACGAAGTTAGAAACTATAGAGGAAGACTGGCACTATGTTAAACAGGCATTTGAATTAGTTTATCTAGCAGAAGTTGATGATGAACCTTATAAGCAAGAGGCAAGATACATATTTGAAAACGTTAGAGATAAATATCAATCAACTAAGGCCAAATTGTTAGAAATTGTGAATAAGAGAAAAATGCAAAGTTAAAGTAATATCGCTGGAGGCGATGTTACAAATCCCTCATTGTTTCACAGCTCAGCTGTTTATCCACCAGGCACAACGTTTGACATGTCGGAAATTTGCATTAAAGTGTCACCTTGTGACACTAAAGACTTCTACGGAAGTTATGAAGAATGGCCAACATTTAGAGATATTAAACCAAAGGTCAGGATGGTAGAATTGTAGATCGGTACCCATTATCTGATCAGAATTTTTCGTTAGCATGGGAAGCTTTATCAATGCGATACGAAAATTTAAGGGTACTAGTTGATAATCAATTAAAGATATTATTCAATCTTTCGGCAGCAAAGGTTGAACATTGCAAAGACATTAAAAGAATACAGTCTACAGTTAGCGACTGTTTAGCTATACTGAATTGAATTTTTCAGAGGCAAACGGCTGTGTAATAACTGTCTGGCAAGCGGAAATTTATCTCAAGAATGCGTCAGCGTTCATAGATGCATGATTTGTAAGAAAAAGCATCACTCAAAATAACATTTACCAACCACGACAGAAGAAAGGTCTACACAGCCAAGAAATTTTACAAGGGATAATCAGTGAGTCATGACGACATTATGCTGCCTACAGCGTTAGTTGAAATAAAATACTTATTGACTCGGCATCAAAACGGACATTCATCACTAATAAAATAGTGAAACTAATGGGTATTAGAGCAGAAAATGCAAGTTTCAGAATAAGTGGACTTAGTGGAACATTGGTCGCAAATTCTAATAAAAAGTGTATTCTGACGCTGTGTTCAGAAACAAATAATACGGGATTTTAAACTGAAGCATTAATAGTTCAAATTTTAACGAGTTTGCTACCGACTAAAACGTTATTAATTTCTGATTTAAGAAGATTTGAAACTAGCAGACCCATTTTTCATGTTTTCAGCCCAAATTGATATGCTAATTGGTAGTGACGTTATCCCACAAATAATATTGGAAGGTGTGAAGAAAAACATATTGGGAAATATGATAGCGCAAAATTCAATTTACGGTTGGTACATCTATGGACCTATAAGAACAAATGAAATTTGTTTAGCTTCAGTAGAAGTGGAAGAGCGTAAAGAAGATGAAATTAGTTCATTATTGAAAAAATTCTGGGAACAAGAGGAAATTAATCAAGTTCCAATAACTACAGAAGATCATTATTGTGAAGAATTTAACACCAACACGACTTACCGTCGAGCAGATGGAAAGTTCGTAGTAAAATTGCAATTTAAAAATGAATTTCGTCCAGATTCAAAGCAAAGAAGAAATATGAACACATGGAATCAAAATTAAGGAATAATAGAGAAATTGAATAATAGAGAAATTACAAATGATGGAAAATATTTTTCGTACTATTTACCACACCATGCTGTCTTTCGCCCAGAACGTACTAGCACAAAAGTGAGAGTGGTCTTTAATGGATCGAGTAAAACGAAAAACTCGTATTCCTTAAACGATGTGTTGCATACAGGGCCAATATTGCAAAATGATCTAGTGTCTGTTATATTGAATTGACGCTTGTATAAGTATGTGTTTAACGGTGACATAGAGAAAATGTATCGACAGATATTTGTGCATCCATCTGATCGGCAGTATCAAAGAATATTATTCAGAGAAAATGTTCATAAAGAAATTAAAGATTATGAGTTATGCACAGTAACTTTTGGCATAAATTGTGCACCTTATTTGGCGATTCGCACATTGTTGCAATTGACAGAAGAGTCGAGAGAAAAATATCCCATTGCATCAAAAATAATACAGAATGAGATATATGTTGATGATGTTTTGACTGGAAGTCATACAATTGCTTCAGCGCTAGAGGCACAAAAACAATTAATTGGTGCATTGCATTCGGCAGGGTTTCCCTTAAAAAAGATGACGGCAAATCATCCGAGTTTGCTTTTAAATGTCCGATCAGAGGATCTATTGAATGAAGAATTTTTGAGAATTGAAGATATGAGTTCAACTAAAACATTAGGTATTCGGTGGAATGTCATTACGGACTCATTCTAATTTAATATAAAATCACTAGAGGTGATTGGACCTATAACTAAAAGGAAAATATTGTCAACAGTTTCAAAACTATTTGACCCAGCAGGTTGGTTAACGCCTATAATCGTACAGGCAAAAATTTTGTTGCAAGACCTTTGTTTAGAAGGCATTAACTGGGATGATAAAGTTTCTTCATCCACTTTGATTAAATGATATAATTTCGTAGATCAATTTTTAAAAATCGATTCAATACAAATCCCAAGATGGATAAATTACTGCCTAGAGGGCACAATTGAGTTACATGGGTTTTGTGATGCATCAGAGAAAGCATATTGTGCTACATTATACATTCGTATGAACACAGAGTCTAGTAAGAGTAAGTTTGCCGAGACTAGAGCTTTGTGGTGCCGTATTGCTCTCTTCTTTGGTAAAATATGTTGTCTCCAATTTAAATATTAAAAATTACTCTGTGAATTTGTGGACAGATTCTACAATCGTATTGGCATGGTTGCAAGAACATCCGTTTACATGGAATACATATGTTGCAAACAGAACTGCAATATTTCAAAATGTTGAAAACGCTGCATGGAGACACGTATCTACAGAATGCAATCCAGCAGACCTTGGAACTAGAGGTTCCAGTGCTGAAGATTTAAGCAATAACTCGCTATAATGGAATGGTCCAATTTTGTTACTTAGCCCAACAAATAATTGGCCGAAATCAAATCTAATTTTACAAAATCCACCATAGCAGCGAAAAGTAGTTGAGTAACCAAACTCATCGCATTTTTCTAAGATATTTTTGTAGTTCATTCATAAAACAATGCTGCATGTAGACATATCGTTAATGATGTCAACCGTTCGAAGCCAATTTTACATTCCAAGTTTAAGACGCTCAATAAAGAAAATAGCTCAAAATAGAAAATGGATGTATAGTTTGTATAAGATATAAGAACAAATTAAAAAGTCAAATTATGGTAGCACTGCCTTTAGAAAGAACGGCGTTAACTTTGTCATTTACTTATGTAGGAGCAGATTTTGCAGGTACATTTCAGATAAAATCTGGGACATTAAGAAATTCACCGTATCAAAAGTCATACGTGTGTATATATGTATGTTTTTCAACAAAGGCAGTTCACCATGTTCAACATTACCTACCGAATCGTTTTTAGCCACATTTTCAAGATTCATTGGTAGAAGAGGGTTGCCAAAATGTCTAATGTCCGATAATAGAACCAACTTTGTGGGGGCCAATCGTATTCTTAATGCAGAGTATCAAGAATTTATTAAAAAGTCCTCCAAAGAAATTTCAGAGAGATATTTTGTCAATGGCTTCGAATGGAAGTTTATTCCTCCTAGCGCCCCACACATGGGAGGACTATGGAAATCAGGAGTAAAAAGTTTCAAGGCACATTTGAAAAAAGTAATGAAAGATAGAAAATTTAATTTTGAAGAGTTTTCGAAAATATTGGTTAGAATTGAAAGTGTGTTAAATTCGAGACCTTTGACACCATTGTCGAAAGATGCCACTAGACGATTTATCTCTTATAAATCGATGGGAAAAGGTTAAAGTTCTTCATCACACATTCAGCAAAAGATGGAAATCTGAGTATATCCAGGAACTCCACAAACGCTACAGATGGCAGTATTCCCAGCGGAGTCTGAAGGAAAATGACATGGTTCTGATAAAAGATGAACTTCTACCACCAAATGACTGGAAGATGGGACGAGTTTTGAAAGTATATGAAGGGCATGATGACCACTTGTACAATCATGAACATGGGACAGATTGAAAAATGCAGAGTGTGCTTTGGCATTCATCATTTGGGATTTTGTCCAACATTTAGAATGAAGTCTGTAGAGCAGAGGGAGGATGTAGTACTATCCCACAAGTACTGCATCAAATGTTTGGGTCAAAATCATTTTGTCCGAAAATGCATATGGACAGGAAATTGTAGAATGTGTGGGGCGAGACACAACATCATGCTTCACCGTCCGATGACAACAGCAACAGGGACTCGTGCAAACGTAATTAGTGCACATGTGTCGGGAGCAAGATTCCACCCATATTCCAACCAAAGGGAATCACAAATGCAGCAGCAACAACAATTATTAATTGGCCTGCAAACACAAGCCAACTCTGCAGGCTCCGGTGTAACATTTAACACCGCAAGGCAGCATTAACAAGAGGCGAAAAGGCTCCATCAAGAGGCTAAAAGATTGCAAAGGAAAGCAAAGGAGCACGAGGAGCAAGCAAAGAATTGATTTCATCTTTTTGTGTTTGTTTCTGTCGTTCATTGGTTGATTGTTGTTGGGGATTTTCTGCTTGTTTTTGAATTGTCTTCTTCGCCTTAGCTGGTGTGGCTTGTCGTTACTTTTTCTGTTGTTGGAAAAAAGCAACGACAAGCCACACCAGCCAAAGCGGCCCCGGCATGTTGGGCAGCCGGCAGCATTAACAAGAGGCGAAAAGGCTCCATCAAGAGGCTAAAAGATTGCAAAGGAAAGCAAAGGAGCACGAGGAGCAAGCAAAGAATTGATTTCATCTTTTTGTGTTTGTTTCTGTCGTTCATTGGTTGATTGTTGTTGGGGATTTTCTGCTTGTTTTTGAATTGTCTTCTTCGCCTTAGCTGGTGTGGCTTGTCGTTACTTTTTCTGTTGTTGGAAAAAAGCAACGACAAGCCACACCAGCCAAAGCGGCCCCGGCATGTTGGGAATCTGCCCAACCCATTAGATGATGAGATCGAAATGGACCTCATCGATCTTGATAAATAATTTATCGATGAGGTCCCATCTCCACCAAAAAGAAAACGTCACTCTTCTTCTCGAAGTTTATAAGTACCAGTGGATCGCCAGATCAAATAAAATTGGAATTAATTATTTCATCAATTTGAAATTAATAGAAAAGACCGACAATGTCATATTTTTGAATATTGAATTGAATTGTTTTGAAGTGTGTTTAATTTGCAGTCAACAAAACGTTATTATCGTCTGAATACTCGTTGTGTTGTTGTAGTTGCAAATTTATATTGTTGTACGTCTTGTAGATTTAGAATCACTACAAGTCCTTTCGACTGCATCGGAACTTGTATTTGACAGGATTTGTTATTTGTATAAATTTTATTCGAAAAATTTCAGTACTATATTTTGGTGTATAGCCTTTCTCAAACACATTATTATAGTTGCTTATTCTGACATATTCTCCTATATGGTATTTAGGCAAGGGGAATACTTTAGTATGACTATAAATTGTATTCAGCAGCATTTTTTCATTGTTTTTATTCACATCAATGGGTGCCATGTTTATTGTGCGATGCTTTCTTCTGTTATAATCATTTACCATTTTCTTATATATATCAATCCAGTGATAGGTACCATTATATGCAAATTCTCGAAACATTATAGATTTTAAAGTTCGATTAAATCGTTCAACAATAGATGCCTTTTTTACGCTATATGTTGAGTAGTGGTTAATCGAATGCGTATCCATTAGTTTTTTAAAATCTTTATTAAAATATTCTTTACCATCATCTGTTTGTAAATTCATGGGTTTTCGGACATTATTTAATATTTTTTTTAAATGCAGTACAAACATCAATAGAATTTTTGATTTTGTTGCTTCTACTTCATGCATACTTAGAGAATGTGTCAATAACTTTTAGCATGTATTTCATTCCTTTATTTATTGTAGAATAATTCCCCATTTCAACTAAATCTGCTTGCCATAGATCATCAATTCCTTTTGTGATAACTCTCCGACGGGGAAAATTTTTTCTTGCTTGGGAATGGAGTTCATTTACAATGATTCTTCTTTCCATGATTCACTTATTAAGAATCTTGTTAAGAATAATATTATGTGGTGTTGACATTAACGATCTAAAGGTATTTTGATCTCTAACATATCTCAGGGATTTCCGTAAACTATTTATTTCAATTTGTATTTTTTTTCAGCAGATACATCTCTTACTATTATTTCTTTAGCGTGTAAGATTTGTGTTTTTAAATAAGCTTTGTTGACTGCGTCATTATTTTCCGATGGTGGCGCCACGTTTTTAATTTCTTATTGTTGGTATCGATGTTATAATGCTGGTCAATAGTAATTCCCAAAATTTGTGAAGCATTTTTTCTAAAAGTGTTAGAATTGGAGTAGTGACCGAATTTATCAACGCTCATTTCATTATTGATTATTGTCCATTAGGTTGGTTATTTTTTCGGTGTGCAAATGTATTTTCCAAATTTTTTTATATATTTCTAACTCAAAAGCATCGAAGCCACTAGGATTTTTATGAAATAATAGACTATATAGACCTGGTGATAGAGCCCATGTTTGGTTAGCAATTTTTATTTTGTCGCCAACAAAACACATTGGACTATTACCAAATTTCCATTCACCATTCTCATATTGTTTAGGAAGTCGTCGAAAGTATTATTTTTTAATAATGAGTTCAAACTATCGACTCCGTTTTTGTAATCTGTTTCTTTTTCTTCTGCTTCTTCTTCGTCCTTAACATGAACATATTTTCCGTGTTTTATTTTTTTGGGAGTTTTTAAAGTATCTTCTTTTTTCGTTGCATTCATAGAGTTTTTAATATCATTTACATTTAAATGAGATAATTTATACTGGTATCGGTTTTTAATAAACCGGTGAATTTATGTCAATATACCCGTATCGGTTTTTAATAAACCGGTCTGTTTAGATTTGTATATTGGTATCGCTTTATTTATAAACCGGTGGGATTAGATTTGCATGCAGCTGCGGTTTGATCGGTTGATAATAAGCGGTTGATTGAATTGAGTGGTTTAAGCGATATGTCTAATTCATTGAAAGTAGTTTTGTATACTAAATATTAATGAACACATCAAATCCTTTTCTATAGCGACCATTCATAATGCTGTCATCTTTACTTATAACCAAAAATCCATATTTATCTTTCCAACATTCACGACAAATCTCAGTAAATTTTTGAAATGAGATATCTCCTCCAACATGTTCATTAAAAATGTGCTTCATATATACGCAATCTTGTTTAAAAATGATGAGAAAGTTGGCATTATCTCTTATTAGATGCTTAGGAATCCGTGTATATATTTGTCATAAATACAATGAATCTATATTTCTATGTCTACCCATACAGAAATAGGCGCGGATGTTATTTTGTTTTTCACACACAACATCATCAAATATCATTATCGAATTGGGTTGTATTACATCAGCATTTTCAGAAAATGTATGATAACCCATCCCTTTTATAGGCGTAAGTTCTTCTAAATATTTATATTTTGGATGATGAAGTGATTTCGAATATAAATATATATTCTTAAATTTAAATCCATTGGGAATTTCAATTAAACTAATAATAATGTTAGTTTTTCCACAATTTGATGGCCCAACTATTACAGATCTTATTGAGTTTGGTAATAATTTACTATGTTTAGGTTTCTCGTTAATATTTTGCTTACAATCAAAGTTTCTGACTTTGATATGTTTGTCCTGCTTAATCAAACGCATTGTGAAGACTATCCTTTTTTATTTTCATATATTTATATTTATATATATAAATATTTTATTTCGTTCATTTTAGATTCCTTATAAACATATAACATGATTGTATATTTCAAAAATAAAATTAATTGCAAACGAAGCTTTCAAGGAAGAGGATTAATTAATCGTATTATTAATTCACTTCCATTTGAGCTGTATTTACCTGGATACCAATATTGTGGTCCAGGTACAAAGTTGGAAAAACGATTAGAAAGGCGTGATAAAGGCATAAATGGTTTAGACTCTGCTTGTAAACTACATGATATTGAATATTCCAAGACCACGGACGTAAAACTACGGAATAAAGCTGATCAGGAACTAGCTGAACGAGCCTGGTAGCGAGTGATAGCACTTGGGGTGAAAAATTGAGTGCCTATTTGATTTGCAACACAACGAAAGCTAAATATAAGCTCGGCATGGGTATACCACAAAGGGAATAAATCAAATATTATTATTCCTAGAGTGATACGAGTACCGAAAATCGGTGGGTTTCTACCTATAGTAACAATATTAACAGCTCTAAGCGCTGTTGGGGCATTAGCTACTGGTGAATCATCTATAGCTAAAGCCGCAAAAAATGCTAGGAAACAACTAGAAGAAAATATTCGTCGCAGTAAATCTACGGAAAACGTTGCTATAGGCAATGAATCATTTACAGAAAACAAGATTCGACAAAAAACTAATAAGTCAGCTACCCAAAAGACCATTAACCGATTTTGATATTAAAACGTTTGGAAAAAATACATTCCACATTTTAGAGAGATCGACTTCCTAGTAAACCACATATCACAGAATGTGGCATTGTAAACCTCGATCCATATTTTGGTCCTGGTACTCATTGGGTAGCGTACTGTAAACAATATGAGAAAAGTGAATACTTTGATAGCTTTGGAAATTTGCAGCCACCATTGGTAATATGACAATATCATATATTATGTAAGAAAACAGAAATTTAACTCGTTCAGTTGCGGACACCTATGTTTACAATTTTTGCTCGGGAAAACTTTTTAATAATATTTTTGTTTCTATTAGTAATAAGATTTTTTATTTATAAATTTGTATATTAAATATCTATAAAAACATGTAAAAAAGTCAATAAAAATATAAAAAAATAAAACTTTATCCATTGTTAAACTCTTCAATATTAAGGCAGCTGTTGAATTTGTTATTTCGTTTGTATGACACTGTTCGGTAATAGTAATATGATGTGCTACACATGTATCAACGTTCTTTTCGGGCAGAATTTTATTTAATTCCTTAGGATTTATTGCTTTATTGTTGGTTGAATTTCTCCTCAGCAGAACACAGTTGTTAGACCATCGTACATGTTCGGCAATTGGGGAGTCCGTTTCTTTCCAACAGCAAATGTCTACACCACAAAAATAGCATATTACTCTATCTGCTTCTCCAGTATAATAAAATCCAATCATAGCCATCTCTTTAGGTTTCGGATTTGTTAAGGGCCAGGAATTAAAAGTTTTCAATCGTTCATCTTCCCTTATAAAACAATCATCAAGGAAATTGAAAAAAATGCATCTTTTCTGTAAAACATGGTCTTGAACACTAAATGTATTAAGAAAATAAGTTCCCTTTTTATGGAAATAAATAACAACACATTGTTCTGTGTTCATTTGATTATTAATTTTATTTGTATTATATTTTATTTTTATGTTTTAATTCTAGTTTGTATGCATAATTATCATTTCCTTCTCTCAAAAGTTTCTTAATAATAGAATATTCTCCACCATTTAATTGAGCTATGGCTTCATCTCCGAGAGAAATAAATCTGGCAGGGAGATATAAAATTGAGTCATCTAGCTTTAAAACAACTTTTTTCCAAACTTGGTTTGTCTTTTATATGCTCCGTTGATGATATATTCCTTGTTAGATTCCATGTCCTTTATACAAAGTATTTTTTTTTAAGTTCAGACTGGTGAAGGAATTTACTAGTACTGCACTGGAATTCATCATTATATGACTCGATTGTAGACTGTATGTTTTTAAATAAATGTAGCAGCTATTTATAGGTTAATCAATGGATTTACATTTCATTAATAATTCCATCTCTGTCTTTCAATAAACAACTAATCTCTTCCCACTACCAGAATTGTAGAGGGAGAAATAAACAAGTTATATATATATATATATATATATATTTTTATTTATTGCAAAAAATTAACACAAATCATTTATAAAATTATTTATAATTTTTTCCGTATTATCTTCATTATTTACAATTTGTCTAATTTGGTTTATATTGTTTTGTAAATAGTTGTCGAATTCGTTAACTAATTCAGGCTCCAAAGGTTCGGATGGCTTGATATTATAATATTTGAAGTTATTATTGGTTCCTCGGGTCGCTCATTTTCCTCTGTTACATGCTCTACGGAGCTTTGCATCTGTATACTCCTCAGGTTGCTCGTTTATTTCTTCAGACTGCATATGGAATCTTTTTTGAGCTCTATGCAAAACTGTAGAAAATAGAAAAAATACATTTAGGCGCACAGGCAGCTTTCCTCATATTTTTTCTACCAAGAAATATAAGAAACCCAACAACAATGACAACAAGAACACTCGAACGCATATTTCGATTAAATCGTTCAACAATAGATGCCTTTTTTTACGCTATATGTTGAGTAGTGGTTAATCGAATGTGTATCCATTAGTTTTTTAAAATCTTTATTAAAATATTCTTTACCATCAACTGTTTGTAAATTCATGGGTTTGCGGACATTATTTAATATTTTTTTTAAATGCAGTACAAACATCAATAGAATTTTTGATTTTGTTGCTTCTACTCATGCATACTTGGAGAATGTGTCAATAACTTTTAGCATGTATTTTATTCCTTTATTTATTGAAGAATAATTCCCCATTTCAACTAAATCTGCTTGCCATAGATCATCAATTCCTTTTGTGATAACTCTCCGACGGGGAAAATTTTTTCTTGCTTGGGAATGGAGTTCATTTACAATGATTCTTCTTTCCATGATTCACTTATTAAGAATAATATTATGTGGTGTTGACATTAACGATCTAAAGGTATTTTGATCTCTAACATATCTCAGGGATTTCCGTAAACTATTTATTTCAATTTGTATTTTTTTCAGCAGATACATCTCTTACTATTATTTCTTTAGCGTGTAAGATTTGTGTTTTTAAATAAGCTTTGTTGACTGCGTCATTATTTTCCGATGGTGGCGCCACGTTTTTAATTTTCTTATTGTTGGTATCGATGTTATAATACTGGTCAATAGTAATTCCCAAAATTTGTGAAGCATTTTTTCTAAAAGTGTTAGAATTGGAGTAGTGACCGAATTTATCAACGCTCATTTCATTATTGATTATTGTATTTTCCAAATTTTTTATATATTTCTAACTCAAAAGCATCGAAGCCACTAGGATTTTTATGAAATAATAGACTATATAGACCTGGTGATAGAGCCCATGTTTGGTTAGCAATTTTTATTTTGTCGCCAACAAAACACATTGGACTATTACCAAATTTCCATTCACCATTCTCATATTGTTTAGGAAGTCGTCGAAAGTATTATTTTTTAATAATGAGTTCAAACTATCGACTCCGTTTTTGTAATCTGTTTCTTTTTCTTCTGCTTCTTCTTCGTCCTTAACATGAACATATTTTCCGTGTTTTATTTTTTTGGGAGTTTTTAAAGTATCTTCTTTTTTCGTTGCATTCATAGAGTTTTTAATATCATTTACATTTAAATGAGATAATTTATACTGGTATCGGTTTTTAATAAACCGGTGAATTTATGTCAATATACCCGTATCGGTTTTTAATAAACCGGTCGGTTTAGATTTGTATATTGGTATCGCTTTATTTATAAACCGGTGGGATTAGATTTGCATGCAGCTGCGGTTTGATCGGTTGATAATAAGCGGTTGATTGAATTGAGTGGTTTAAGCGATATGTCTAACTCATTGAAAGTAGTTTTGTATACTAAATATTAATGAACACATCAAATCCTTTTCTATAGCGACCATTCATAATGCTGTCATCTTTACTTATAACCAAAAATCCATATTTATCTTTCCAACATTCACGACAAATCTCAGTAAATTTTTGAAATGAGATATCTCCTCCAACATGTTCATTAAAAATGTGCTTCATATATACGCAATCTTGTTTAAAAATGATGAGAAAGTTGGCATTATCTCTTATTAGATGCTTAGGAATCCGTGTATATATTTGTCATAAATACAATGAATCTATATTTCTATGTCTACCCATACAGAAATAGGCGCGGATGTTATTTTGTTTTTCACACGCAACATCATCAAATATCATTATCGAATTGGGTTGTATTACATCAGCATTTTCAGAAAATGTATGATAACCCATCCCTTTTATAGGCGTAATAAGTTCTTCTAAATATTTATATTTTGGATGATGAAGTGATTTCGAATATAAATATATATTCTTAAATTTAAATCCATTGGGAATTTCAATTAAACTAATAATAATGTTAGTTTTTCCACAATTTGATGGCCCAACTATTACAGTTCTTATTGAGTTTGGTAATAATTTACTATGTTTAGGTTTCTCGTTAATATTTTGCTTAAAATCAAAGTTTCTGACTTTGATATGTTTGTCCTGCTTAATCAAACGCATTGTGAAGACTATCCTTTTTTATTTTCATATATTTAATTGCAAACGAAGCTTTCAAGGAAGAGGATTAATTAATCGTATTATTAATTCACTTCCATTTGAGCTGTATTTACCTGGATACCAATATTGTGGTCCAGGTACAAAGTTGGAAAAACGATTAGAAAGGGGTGATAAAGGCATAAATGGTTTAGACTCTGCTTGTAAACTACATGATATTGAATATTCCAAGACCACGGACGTAAAACTACGGAATAAAGCTGATCAGGAACTAGCTGAACGAGCCTGGTAGCGAGTGATAGCACTTGGGGTGAAAAATTGAGTGCCTATTTGATTTGCAACACAACGAAAGCTAAATATAAGCTCGGCATGGGTATACCACAAAGGGAATAAATCAAATATTATTATTCCTAGAGTGATACGAGTACCGAAAATCGGTGGGTTTCTACCTATAGTAACAATATTAACAGCTCTAAGCGCTGTTGGGGCATTAGCTACTGGTGAATCATCTATAGCTAAAGCCGCAAAAAATGCTAGGAAACAACTAGAAGAAAATATTCGTCGCAGGAAATCTATGGAAAACGTTGCTATAGGCAATGAATCATTTACAGAAAACAAGATTCGACAAAAAACTAATAAGTCAGCTACCCAAAAGACCATTAACCGATTTTGATATTAAAACGTTTGGAAAAAATACATTCCACATTTTAGAGAGATCGACTTCCTAGTAAACCACATATCACAGAATGTGGCATTGTAAACCTCGATTCATATTTTGGTCCTGGTACTCATTGGGTATCGTACTGTAAACAATATGAGAAAAGTGAATACTTTGATAGCTTTGGAAATTTGCAGCCACCATTGGTAATATGACAATATCTGGGGACAAACATAACATATATTATGTAAGAAAACAGAAATTTAACTCGTTCAGTTGCGGACACCTATGTTTACAATTTTTGCTCGAGAAAACTTTTTAATAATATTTTTGTTTTTATTAGTAATAAGATTTTTTATTTATAAATTTGTATATTAAATATGTATAAAAACATGTAAAAAAGTCAATAAAAATATAAAAAAAATAAAACTTTATCCATTGTTAAACCCTTCAATATTAAGGCAGCTGTTGAATTTGTTATTTCGTTTGTATGACACTGTTCGGTAATAGTAATATGATGTGCTACACATGTATCAACGTTCTTTTCCTCAGGTTGCTCGTTTATTTCTTCAGACTGCATATGGAATCTTTTTTGAGCTCTATGCAAAACTGTAGAAAATAGAAAAAATACATTTAGGCGCACAGGCAGCTTTCCTCATATTTTTTCTACCAAGAAATATAAGAAACCCAACAACAATGACAACAAGAACACTCGAACGCATATTTCGATTAAATCGTTCAACAATAGATGCCTTTTTTTACGCTATATGTTGAGTAGTGGTTAATCGAATGTGTATCCATTAGTTTTTTAAAATCTTTATTAAAATATTCTTTACCATCATCTGTTTGTAAATTCATGGGTTTGCGGACATTATTTAATATTTTTTTTAAATGCAGTACAAACATCAATAGAATTTTTGATTTTGTTGCTTCTACTCATGCATACTTGGAGAATGTGTCAATAACTTTTAGCATGTATTTTATTCCTTTATTTATTGAAGAATAATTCCCCATTTCAACTAAATCTGCTTGCCATAGATCATCAATTCCTTTTGTGATAACTCTCCGACGGGGAAAATTTTTTCTTGCTTGGGAATGGAGTTCATTTACAATGATTCTTCTTTCCATGATTCACTTATTAAGAATAATATTATGTGGTGTTGACATTAACGATCTAAAGGTATTTTGATCTCTAACATATCTC